GGGGGGTAAGTGGGGAGCAATAACAAAGTTATCTACCAGTTCAGGCACTAAGAATAAACATGGACTGTTAATGACTGTTGCTGCTCTATAGTCAGTTGGCCATGGGGCTCAGCTTCATTGTGACCACATGGTAAGTCACATATGAAAACAATACCAACTTATTTTAATGGTGCCTACTTGGTCTAAGCTAGATAAAAAAGATTTCTAAGCTAAATAATCCATAGATTACTACTATAGGGCAAGTTGGAATATTTTCTTGGTATTACTTTAGTATGCTAGTAAATCTCTGTGTTTTCTATATCAGTTAGAAGGGATACATGCACTCCTGTGTTCACAGAGGCACTGTTTACAATTGTCAAGTTATGGAAACAACCTAAGTGACCAAGGATGGATGAGGGAAAATACAGACACGGTGGAATACTACTTGACTAGGAAAAAGATGAACCCTGGCTATTTGCAACAACATGGACAGAACGAGAGGGGATAATGCTAAGCAAAATAAGTCAGCAGGAGAAAGACTACTATTGCCTGAGTTCACTCATATGTGGAACATAAGGCAACAAAACAAAAGTTGATCCAAACCAATCCAATAACAAATCCTAGAAATCTGTCTGTAGAACTGAGGTCACCAGAGGGGGAAGGAGAAGGTAGAGAGCAAAATGTGAAGGACTAGGCTGGACCATGGTGTACTAAGGGTGCCTTGGTGGTGGGTGTGGTGTAGGGCCATGCATCTGAGGAGGTATGATTCTATGCCTCTGGATAACATACAGTTTTTTTTTAACAGTGTGCCCTCAAAAACAAATAAATAAGAAAATTATAACAAAGTACTAAAAATTTTAAAGTAGTTTATGGTTTTTAAAGCTCTAAGATGATCTGCTTTGAACAACAATAGTTTCTAACTATGGGACAGTAATGACAAAATATCCTTTAGGCATTGTGAATGATTTTTCTGTATGAATTACTGACACTATTGATCAAATATTTTTACTAGTAAGACATTCATAACTAATTATAGTTCAGGAGTTTGGAAACTCAGTTAAAATTTTGGTGGCTGGAAATGTCTTTTTGATTGACAGGACTTTGCTGTATGGTTTTGTTTGTTCCTCACAGTTTTTGTTGTAAGGTTTACACATGGTTTACATCTAGTAGACAAGTAGACATTTCATCACCTCAGATGAACTGTACTGAAACGCTTAGCACTACTGGGCTAAGCACCGAGAATGGAGAGGTGAGATATATAAGAGTTACCTTTCCCTTGTCCTTGGGAAAGTTCTAATTTAGAATCTTTCTACTGCGCCCTGCTATTTTCATTGAATCTAAGGTGCCATCATTTTGAATCTACACCATTAATTTATCTTCTACTTGAAAACAAACAAGAATGCCAATTAAAGTTGTAATGATGCTAGTGCCTATAAGACTTATACCTTATAATTTAGAGATGTTAAAATGTGAAATATGTTAAATACTGGATTAGAGCCCACTCCATTGAAAAATGACTGGTAAAAAATGTTTCCTCTGGTGATGACTGTTTAAAGATGTTTGAAGGGGACAATAGTTGCAGTGGTTTTCAGTGGATAGGAAATATTTTTATATTTTAGGGATAAAAAAAGAAAGATGATTATCTCTCTTGTAGGCCAAGAGAAAGAGAACCTAGGATAGCAAGAGCAAGAGTGCGCTTTCTGACGGGAATGAGGCAGGGGCCTTTCACAGGGCACTAGGGACTTGCTCCCTAGCTGTCCACAGAGAGGACACATAACCTCAGGAGAGCTCCCTGGCATCTCACAGGGTTTGTGCAGTGCTGAGAGAGCGTTCCTTCCTTCTTAGTATGCCACAGTGTAACCTACAGAATCCCCCAAGTTTAAATGATCTCATCAGTGAACTTGATTAACTTGTTTTCTGCTGTAACATCTTCACAAAAAAGAATGAAGTTATTTACTGATGATCTCACTGACCGGTTTATAAGGAGGTGGTAAATGGTGTGGTGAATGAGGATGTGGA